TGCGAATATAAAACTTGACTGCTTGTGGTAATAGAAGAAGAGTGAAATTTATAAAATATTGCCATTATTTTTCTTAACGCCTTTGTATTAAATTTAAATGTCATTTTAGTTAAACCAAGCAAGCAACAAATATTTTAGTAACTTTTGCGGAAGAAAAAAAAATAAGTCACGGTCTCATTTTTCTAAAAAAGAAATTATAACAAAATTTCTGCAAAGAAAAGTATTGTCATTTTATTTTACGTATTTAACTGCTGCTGAGAGCTGTATAGAAAAAAGTTTTTAATTTTATACAAAAAGTATATTTTGGGTTACATTTATACGGCCTTAGGGCGGCATTAATTAAAGCTTCAACAGTAAAAAGTATTTGCTGAAAAATGACACTGACACAATAATTCTGTAGCTCGAAAGGAAATGGACGGATGTACTATATAGTGAAAGTCTGTGAAAGCAGCGAAAATAATAAATTTGCAAATATTTACAAAAGTTACGATAACACAAAAGGATTCTTTGCTTAAAAAATATTTGCATAATTATTTGCTTAACAAATATAAAATTTTTATTGTTACTGATTGTTAAAGTAACGAGGGTGAAATTTATTTTGGACTTAAAAGATTTAAAAATGTACAGACTCCTCTTATTTATATATACGCCTATGCTTATATTATATAGAATTGCTTGAATTGATTTTCAATATATACTTAATTCAAATGTAATCAATATATACGGACATAAATAATAGTAAAAAATATGTATTGGAAAAAATAAAATAAAATAAAATAAAATAATGGTTATAAAAATGTGCCTTAAAAATATAAATAAGAATAAAAGTGCTCAATAGTGCCCTACTTAGCACTATCTTATCTCAAAGTAATCACTAACCGCACAGAGCGGTACGCATATCTTAGATCAGTTATTGAATGATCAAGAAGCTTATAAGGAGTACACAAATTAGACAGTGAGATGGGTGGGACTCAGCAGAAACCCCCAGCTATCAAAGAGTAAAAGTGCCCAAATGCACTAACTCGGAACATACACATAGCTTTACAATGCAGGTTAGAGGTCTAAAAAGTGTAAAGCCCAAATAATATGCAGACCATGTATCTATACTGTGATTTAGTGTAATGTAACAAATATGATCTGAGCATAGAATAAGAAATTCTACATTCGTTAAATCTTAAGGATAAGTATGAGCGACATTTATATAGCAACGAGAATTACAAAAATATATAAGGTTATTGAACATATGGGTTTATGTTCTCAAAACTATTTTACTGATTGATTTTTCCTATTTTACGTTTATTAAAATATTCAACAATTAAAATAAAACTAAAATATAAGAGCTGCTAGCTAGGTATAATCTCTTCTTACTGCACTTAAAGATTATTCATATTGTTCACATGTGTTTCCAAGTGAGCTGTTAAAATTTAAAGTGTTATGAGCTTCAAATCATATCTCAAATTGTTAATTCATAGATAGAGTGAATATAAACCATACCATTTAGCTATCTTAAAATATATATGTTTTGTTGAATGTATGTTTATATGACAAGCATTTAAAGTAATGGTACCACAAAGAGTTTTAGTCGTCTTTGACATTATTTTACTTTGGTATTCTCAAAAGTCATTAATGTTGCTTATGTCAAATTAGATAACCACATATATAAGAAATAAATGGATTTTGTTTTTATTTATAATTGTAGAAGTTTCATGCTGAAACAAGTTTTAAGCAACCATTTTACACAGTAAGTAGCAATCCCATTTCACATAAAATATGTATTAAATGGAATAAATTTAACTGGAATGTGTGGTAACGTTCACTTTCTGTGAGAGTTTTCACACTTAATGATAATTACTATTTATTTGCTGTACTTTTTCAACGAGATTTTGTTGTACATTTTGTGATTTTGTTGCTGACAACAAACAAGACAAACTTTGCTGTAACAGAATGCGGTATTAGCTTTGGCAGCAGTTGCTGCTGGGTTTGCCAACATTAAACTTATGACTGCAATTTGTTAAAAATCAGATTTGAAAGTTCTTCTTCATGTGTTGCAATGAATCGGGGAAAGGACAACATAAATGCAATTATTTAGATAAATTAATAATTTTAAAGAAGATATTTTTCTGTGCAAATAAAGTAAAATAAATAACCTTTCTCTATAAAAGAATTTTCTTATTTAACACTTATTTAAGCAACAAAATAAAATATAGTAAATAAGGAAATAACAATTTAAATTTAAAAGTTTTTAGTAGATTCCACATCTTTTTGTAATTTATAAACCGCAAAGCTAGCTTGACTCTTTTGTAACCCCAACTAAATATTTCCGTAACTTATGACTATTAAATTTTGATTTATTGCGAATACATATTTTGTTGCACGACATTTCAACTTTGGAGCTCACTTGTTGCCACAAAAAATGTTGGAGTATTTCTACCTGGTGGTAACCACACAGTACGGTAAACCGAACCGTAGCATAATAACGGCGCTAGCAACGACGACAGGAGCGTAGAATGCAAACTGTTACATGGCACGGTGGCAGTAACGTAAATAAAACGTTGGTGACCAATGTGGCACTCTACCGCTGCCAGGATTTTATTACGTCCCTAAGTGGTCGTGACAGTGGTGGCATATTTAAAACCGTAACATCTCAAGGGATATTTAAACAATTTAAACCGCTTCTCTGCTGCTGCATCCGTTGCGGTCTGAAAATATTTGTTGGCATTCTAGTCTCGCAATTCCGTTGAATACAAAGTTTGTTAGTTAATTTTGCAGTTACTGCTGTTGCAATGTGGTTTCCCTGTACTGACCACTTCAACTTGTTTTATTCACTAAAAAATTGCTTAGGGTTTCGTTCAAATGTTTTCGTTTAGAAGAAATTGCCAAAAACAACAAACATTAAATATTTTAGGTTTAATTGAAATTGTTATTGTGGCAAGTGCTTAAACTAGACAAGCGAGTAAGAGAACTTTTATTAGAAAACTCAACCAAAACACTCTAAAACCATATAACATAAGTAGCTCAAAGATGAATACAAAGAAAAATTATTTAATTAAAAGACTATATCTCAATTAAAGTAATGATTAGAGAAGCACTTGTTCTGTTTATATTATGTTAACAAAAATACTTCTGTTTAACATCCTACTACTCTTAGGTTAAATAATCTAAACATTATATTTTTGTTAATAGACAGATGTGGTTATAAGTTTTTATAGCCAAATAAGTAAAAAAAAATTACACTTTGATCTGAAGTTTGAAGTAAATTTAAATTATTCAAGATTATATATAAATACTTATACCTAAACGGTGAAAGTAAGAAAAATAATTGGTTATGACTTTGCTCATATTTATTTCCATATTTTTTATGGACACCCATTATCGAGTTTTGGACCGCGTAAAATACAGATACATATTAAAAATACAGTAATTCACGATAACTTGTCGTATTTATCCTAAAAGTACCGTTAACCAAGAGTTTTCGGCTCAAAATGCTTGCTTATCAATATATTTATTGCGCATTTGAAGAGTAGATACGTCGTTAAGTTGAGCACATGTATCCATACTGTACTCTTGACAGTACTGTACTCATTTTAGGTCATTATGTTAAGACTACACATTACGACCAAATCGTCTGTTTAGACTCACAAAAGTAACTATACAAAGTTATATTCAATTAGCTAAAAAACAAAAGAGTACCTTGAAAGATGGACATCGGTAAATCCATTTATCTTGTGCTTTTTAGCACAGATAGATTATATGGTCTGTATATGGTCTGTATAAACATCCCTACTATATATATATACATATATATATATATATATATGACACATATACAAATAATAAATTAATCTAAAACTAAACTAAATCGATCAGTTGATAATATCTACAGTAAGTTCCAATTGTACTACAAAACTTGTTCAAAAATTGCTATAACTTTCGAATTAGATGGAACCTTTGATAGAACAAAGCGAGTTGTTAGATGGCCCACTCTTCCTAGCCAACAAGAAAACTATAAACAAACATATAACTTTTATCGGTAATGGCGGATTTTTTGAAATTGGTTTATCGTACTCTTAATAGTAGGTAATAACATTAAAGAATTATGGAGTCTCTATCAAAGGCGACCACATTAAACTTTTATTTTTTACAATAGTTAAACGTTAGTTAATTAAAGTTCAAATTTAAATAGAAATAGGAAAGTATGTAATAAACATATTTGACATACTTTTTATCTGCAATATTTATCTGCAGTATTAAAATCAACAATAAAACTAGAAAGGCTAAAGCTAACTAAATTTAATAGTTTAAGCTTTTAAATACTAAATGTTTTAAAAACAGAAAATAATTAGTGAAAAGACAATCAAGTAATAACCTCTACATAAATAAGCCTTCTGTTATTTTCCCATTGTGTTAAAGATTGAAGTTTTTAATCATTTCAATTTACTTATTTCTTTTTTTGGTAACATTATTTGAAACCTCTTTTTAAATGTTTAACATTTAATTTTCATGTTTACTTAATTCAACTTAAGTATATAATATTTTTATCATTCAGATGTGGTAAATTCAATCCTTCACAAATTTTTCAATTTGTTGCAAATAAACTAGCATATAAATCAGCAACTTTTGTGTAAAAAGATACAAATTTTAACATTATACAACAACCTAAACACATCAATCTTGTAAATTTATGCAACCTTTAGGTTCAGCCAACAAATTTAATATTCCATACATAATGCGAGCCCAAATGCTTAAAATAAAAATGAAAATCAGTAAACATCATCAATCAGAACCCCTCCAAAAAAAGACACCAAAGTGAAAGAAACGTACCAAGCAAAGTTTTACAACTTGTAGTTTGCACATACGTACTCAACTCATCACATCCATTTTATTTGACATGAACTTGCGAAAAATCAATTTTAAATGAAACATGTATTGACGAGGGATAGAAACTTTTTGAGCAATATAACAATACTTATAATATATAATAATAAAATAAAAGAACTTACCTGACACTCCACAGGCCATCTGGGGGCCTGCTGTGAGCAAACATTATCCTTGTCCTTAGGCAGCGCGAAAAGATCTCTTGGCTCCTTCAAACGTGCAATTGGACGCAAGGTTTTTTCATCTGTGTTTACCTCCAATTGATTTGTTTTCAGACCTTTAGCAAGAAAAGTACCCAAAAAACCTATAATCAAAATTGTACAATAAATATTAAATTCGATTTAAAGAAAAAAAAAAAAGAAATATTTTTAATTAAATTAAATGCAAGTATCTTTGATTGCTGTTTAATAAATAATAAAAATGAATGTCCTTATGTCAGTTATGATTGTATCTGTTGTTGGTATTAAAAATTGTGCGTTTGGTGTATTTCAGTATGTTTTTTTTTTGTCTTTTCTCTACTATTTTGACAGTTTTTAATTAAGTTCTACTTTATCTTTTAACTGCTCTCTCACTCATTCTATTTGCTGCTTCCATGTTTTATATCAAAATAAAATTAAATGTCATGTCAGGAAACTTTTCAACAGAATATAACCTCAGGAATAGGAAAGACAAAAAATAACTTTTTCATTATCTCCAGCATGACTGCATGAGTATCCTTATCAATATCACAGCATCTGCTGTATTTATTTTATTTATATTCTAACGGCGTATTTATTTTGTTTTACGTTACCAAGGATATAAAATAAAAAGGAAAAAAGAGGATAACAAAGACAATACTTAATAATACTGACATGAACATGAACGCATCAAAAGACTGCAAAGGATAAAAGACTGAAAATTGTGATAAAAAAAACATCACAGAATATTTCAGTCTACTGGAATTTTTATCATCAAAGCTTTTTAATTTATTGGTTTGAGAGAAGTACATATATTATATGTTTTTTATATATTAATTAGCTATTTGAGAGGTAAAAAACTCTTGTAAAAGAAATATATTGTTAAATTTTAGTGATTTTTTTTAATAGTATCGAATGCTTGAATAAAAAACTGAAATACAGTTTAATTGAAATACAAGAAGATTTGAAATTATTTAATTATTTTTAAACCAACGGTTCTCATTTAAAAGACAAAAGGGATGGAACATCAAACAAAACAGCTATGATAACCCAAGCTAATAAAAAGGATGAATATTCATGTCAATGAGAAATGATAAAAAAATTTAACGGTATCAATATTTTTTAACGTTATCATGGTTTAATAGACTTTAAAATTGAATGTCATGTGAACTAGATTTTAGAACGGGTTCGGAACTTGTCACCACGTCACTGCATCCTCTGAAGATTAAAGTTCCATAGGACAGTAGCAATTAAGAACGCCATTATGTCTTTTGAAGAGATGTTATCTAATACCGTTATAAGAGGATAGGCAGTGGATTAGTACCGAAGTCTGAGTCTGGCGAGACTATCACAGTAACACAGAATGTGTTCAGAGCACTATTTTATTGAAAAATCTTTGAAGAATGCTTCTGTCTAAAGAAAGCTTAAATAGTTACTTGCTGTTTTAAAGAATACAATTTTTATTTGAAAGACATAGTGCTTCAAACATCAGTTCTAACATTTGAAGATACTTAATTCGATGAATATTCATGTCAAAATCAAAATTTTTTAAACTTGGCATTGTTCAAAATGCGTTTAAATCTAATGTCATAAAAACTAAAAGAAGATAACATCAAATAATGGAATATAATATGTGATTTGTTGCTTTGGAGAAAACGTTTTAAAGATTTTGTTATTGAACTATTGCTGTTGGTGAAACACTAGCTTTATTATATCGGAAAGCGCAGAACAAGTTCGGTTAGATTGGTCAACCGCCTGTTCCGTTGCAATAATGTTAAGATATATATTTAAAAAATTTGCATTTACGGTTTGGTATGAGGCTCTTGAGTGGATTTAAACTTTTAAAGGAATACGGTAACGGCTTAGTATTACATACATATTTTAAGCAATATATTATTACTGGAAAACTATTCGAAAAAACAATATATATGAGAAATTTATTTTTGTTTTTGACAAATTTGGAATTTGAAGGATATTAATAAAATATTTAAATGTTCATTATGAACAACGCATGTTCACAGGAACAGCAATTTCAAAATTATGTATAGTTCTAAGCAAAAAGAGAAGAGATAATCATTATACTTTTATTTTTTTAAAAATAATTAATTATTTTTTTAAATATATTTATATGTTTTTTAAATATATTTATATTTTTTTTTAAATATTATTATATTTTTTTTAAATATATTTATATTTTTTTTAAATATATTTTTATTTTTTTTACTTTTCTAGTTTATATAGCATTTTATAAACACTATCGAAGAATGAAAGTTTCTATTTAAATCTTTACTTAAAATATTTTTTTTATTGAATTTTTTTAGATTACCCTAAAATAATTAGTTGGTTTTTTTTCTATCTTATAATAATTGCCGAACATTTTAACTTATTGATTCTTTTCACATCTAGAAAAGTTTTAAAGTCCATTATTACAATTGCAATGAAATGTTCTTTCTATTCATTTCCACTACTTCACTATTTTATCAATATCCTTAATTAATTGGTTGCATCTAGATAAGAACTTTTACACTTGAAAAGTTTCGTAAAGCAGAAAATATGGAAGTCCTTGCAAGGAAATGCATGTAAATCCATAATTATAGCTACTTTTGTTTCAATTTGCAACAGCTATGCAAAGCACGAGTAATAAATGATAGTAGGAAAATGCATTTCAACGTAAAAGACAACAACAAAAGGACATAATTTTGAATAAAAGGATGCAACATACCAAGAATTTGCGAAGAAAGATTGAAATTACACTGAACACTGTAAGAAAAAAAATACCACCAGCGACTGTGGCAACTACGGTAGTTTTTGTTGTTGTGTAGTAGCTGACTTCGTTGTTGTTGTTGTTGTTGTTGTTGTTGGTAGATGCTGCAAATGCTATACAGAAATAGTCGCGCTGTTGACTATTTTACTTTGTTGCAGTGAAAAACTGTTGCTGTTGTAAAGCACTTTTAAATTTATTTCAACACTTTTGACCACAAACAAGTGAAAAAAAATAATATTTGTTTTAATTTAAATTAAAACCAATTTAAGTATTTTTTTTGAAAATAAATAAGAACAAAATTTGTGACAAAAAAAATATTTTTAACACTTGTGGCACGAATGATGATCAATTGATATATTTCACTTTAATTTTATTGCCAAAAAATATTTTATAAAAATTTTAGAATTCACGTATTTTGTTAAAAAATTCTAAAAACTTTAATTATTTTCATAATTTAATTATAATTTCGTTCGTTTGGTTCTGCCTTTCTTTATTCTTTAGTGGTGTACGCGTGTCCGTTTCAAGCTTTACGGCTGCTTTGTTGCTCGTTTTGTTGATAACTGAAATCAGCGGGAAAATTTGCTGCACTGAAAATCATTTTTTGCCATACCACATAGCAGCAGCGACGTTGACAGTTAGAAGTGGCAAAAAGTATTCAAAAAAAAAAAACAAAAAAAAAATTGATTGAAAAAGCTTTGAGAATTTTTTTGTGCATTTGTTATAACATTTGCTATTGTTTTGATTTTGAGAGCTTATTTGTTGCTTATTAGTATTCAAAGCAGTCAGTGAGTGAGTAGAGAGGAAGAGTGTAAAACTGAGATATTGCAGTCTTTGCGCAACGACATGTCGTGGGTGGCAAATGTCACAGAAAGCAAGAGTTTGTTTTTGCCTTTGTTTCTCTCTCTCTCACTCATTTTTGAGTTGCGTAAAAATACTCAAATATTTTGCTTTTTCGTGCAAAAGTTTCGTAAAATTAAGGAAAAAAATTAGTTTTTGTACAGTTTTGTGCTTTTCAAGCGGCTTTTGCATTGCTAGTCTTTTTTCAATTTATTTGGCATCTATGGACGTTGTGTGGGTCGCCAGATTTTCGATTTTTTTGGTACATATTATTTAATTATTATTTTTGTGTTTGTTTTTGTTTTACTATAATAATTTATGCTGTTTTTTTCGTTATTAATAATTCAAAATAATCTTGCTTAAAATCTATTATTTGAAAAAAAGCTAAGAAAAAAACATTGTTTAATATATTTTTAGCTTGAATTACTAATCTTGGACTAATGGAGTTTAGTATTAAAGACTTATCAGTTTTTAGAGAACATTAGTCATGATTTCACAAAAGCGAAATTTTCAAAAGAATTAAATGGAAAAGATTTTAATTTTAAAAATACTAGTCACAATCATAATAAAACCACCATTTAAACTACATCACTATTAAAATGTTTACATTATAACATCGATATAATATTTCAATGATTGTCGAGCTTTGATCTAGGTCAAAAGTTATTAGGCTGAAAGCAGCTGTATAAGTTTGAGTTTAGAAATTTCTCTATGAAGCGTCTATTCGCTTTATCAAATAAGCTGAATCTCGTCTCATCGATTAATATCACTTGTAAAACAAATGATCTACTATGATCGTAGTATTCCGCATAGATCCCTGCTTCTAAATTTATGTAAAACTAAATCATTAGTTTCAAAAGAATCCACACGAAACTTCTCCATAAGCTCGCGAGCCTCTAGGAGTCAACTGGTCGGAATGCATTTAGCTTGGAAAATACCGGCGTAATCCTTGTCATTCTTAATTTAAGTTGTCGCATGAATAAGTTACCTGATACACCGTGGTATTAAAGTAATAGTGCGTACGGCGAGTCTTACAAACACGACTTTAAATTTGGGTAGTACACAGGGTTTTGCACCTGTCACTTGAAATCTCAGCTGTTAGTGTAGGGCTTAAGCAAACCTCGGAATTGGAAACGAAATATTGGCAAACGCCTTAAATGTCCAAAGGACTATAATTTACAGATATGTACTTGGAATTTTTAAGGTATTAAAATTATAAAGGGCTATTTGCTTATGGTTCATTTATAACACAATTCTTATTCAATTAGTGAAGTCATTTTAGTCTGCACCACATAATGTTTCCGAATATTGTACTTTTTTCTATCCTAATTGACAAATTATTTTATCTGTAATAATTTCGAGTTATGCGAAAGGATGTGTTATTTTTCTTGTAAATCGTTTGATTTCATCGTTCTTTAAAAAGCTTGCCTTGTATTTGTTATTTACGGTACACAGATCCATTCATGAATGTAAATATCTGCCTAATGCTAATGTTAGATATATAGTATCACCATGTGTGTTAAAGAACGCCCAATAGCTTAAACCTGGTTCTAGACAAACCTGGACATAGCTACAGCAGGTGCTCCGGCGTCTCCTCCTTGAACACCGGTAGACATGGATTTCTGCAGATTCGACAGAGCTGATCGAGACTGGCTCCATGCTGTTCTCTATTCCAGTATTCCGTAAAGGCAGACACTTCCGATTTACTTCTATGTATCAAGTCAGTAGTTATAAATTTGAAGCATAAGTAGCTCAATCCCTATTTGCCCGTTGCAAAAACTGGTTGTAAATCAATATTTACCTGTTACTATGTTAGCAGGAGCAGGGATAGCAACGAGTGATCTCATAGAAGAAGCGAAATATAGCTTACAGTAGTATCAAAATTTTTGTTGATGTTATACGTGGTTACGTACGGCTTCATTAGAATTTTTCTTACTAAATTTTACATAAAAAGAACTTTATATTAAAGACATTATTAAATTTTTTTTTCGTTGAAATTTCACCTATTCAACTTAAATTAATTAACAATATTGATAAGACGAGAACTTATAATAGTCGACATTAATCTAAATACTTATAATAAAATTTCTTACTTACAATGATTAATGCATTAGGATAACAAATCAAACGGCTCAGTTTGTTAAAGCCTTCATTACATTTTTTAAAATTTTTATTATTAGTATTATGTAAACAGATCTTCTTCAGACAATTTCGATACTAACGGGAACTTTATTTACCCATCATTTTATTTTGCTGCTGTCATTATTATTACCTATCTTCCTTCTAATTATTTCTACATAATGTAAACATTTGAGTTCAAAATTGATTGAGTTAAGAAGTACAAGTACATTGTTGTTGTTTGCAACTAAGCAATTTCTTAAATTATGTTCGAAAAAAATAAATTTGCATCAACAACAATGTTGTCTTCTGTTTTTTATGAAATTTTGTTTATGTGTGCAAAATTCATTACAATTGATAGTGTTACATTGCTTGAAAATTGAAACTATGAAAGCTAATTGTTGATTATTAATATATCTATTAGTGTTGTTATTATTATTACTGTATTTATTGTATCATTTTTCTTTGTAATTTTTCGCTATAAATTTAACATTATATATTTTGATAGGTTCCCTGAAGATGACTATAGAAGATAGTCAAAATATCGGAAAAATGTTAAATTAGTTTTTTTATTTCTATTTAAATGATCAATTAGCTCGTTTATAAATTATAATATTAGTACGTAGGGTAAATCGAAACTTGTAAATTTCTTTTAATTATTTAAATAAACAATGTTGAATAGATGTTTTATATATAAACCAAGAATAATTTTATAATAATAATTTTTCTAATATAATTTTAAAATACATACGACAATAATTTAAAAATATAATTTCGCCAACATTTAATTAAATTTTTTTTTAATATAAATAAAGAATCAGACCATTTAATCGTCTTCGTGGCAATGAAACAATTACTTGTTCACACGAGCAGTCAATGTCTTGGCGTCACAATGGACAATTTTCACATTATTTACATAAATTAAATTTACTTATTGAGAAACAGAAAAAAAGTATTTTATTTTAAATAAAAAATTGAATATATAACGACCAAGTAAATAACAATAAAAATAAAATGGCTAATAAATTCTGAACAATTTTTGTGTGGGTCAGTCGTTGTAATTGGCTCAACATGATTTGAAGAAAAAGCAAAAGCAAAAACAAAAACAAAAACACAAAACAATTTTAAACCGTAAAAAATGTAGAAAAAACATTGACCTTGTATATTCGCACAATTTCTTATAAGTTCTATTTACGAAAAGCGTGTTGTTGTTGCACTAGCTGCTGCTACGGCCGCTGCTACTATTGTTGTTGCACAAAATCAAAACAAAACAAGCTTTAAAATCAAAGTACTTTGTTGAACTTAATTTCTTGTTGTTGTCATTGGACTGAGTCAAGAGAGAAAAGAGCTTTCTGCGTATCACTTTCTTTCTTATTATTCTCACTGCTTCGGCAATGAAATGAGCAAAACGTTTCTTTTTTTTTTTTGCTTATTTTGCTGCTTTTGTTTACTTTGACGTGTGATTTGTATTTTTGTCGCTTGTTTTGTACTTTGTAGTTGATTTATATCGAATATAATTTATTTTTAATTGTTTATTTATTAAACGATTTCAATTAGTTTCTTAATATTTAAACATGTAAAACTATCGATTAAATTGATTAAAAATTTTTTTGTTGATTTTCTCTTTTAATTTTATACAAACAAGCAGAATGATTTGTTATTTCAACTATTTAGCATGAATACTTTAGGTTTTATCTCAACAAATTATCACAACAGCTGCAAAAATTTGTATAATCAATCAGTTGAAAAAAAATAATTTAAAAAAATATCTTAAATTAACAATCTTTTCACTTCTACGAAATTAAAAATTATTTAAAATTTTTTATGGAAATTATTTTACGGCAGCTTATATTGTTGCGATAATGCATTCTCATCCTAAACATACCCGCATGTTTTTCTCTTGTAAGTTGAAAAACAATTCTGCATTTTTTGACGGTGGTTTGGTTGCACTTTTGTGCGCAATTAATTAAATTTTTATGCTTTAATAATATTTTGGCAAGCATTATTGTTATTTTGTTTACCGCAGCAGAGAAGACAGGACGAAACTGCGATTAATGCATATGACAGCAACTAAATCAAAATAATTGTTAATATTTAATTATTGCATTATATTCCACTACATTATAGACTACTTTTGGTTAGGGCCATGTAAATACAAATGTCAACATTTCCACTTAGGACATCTATTATCAATTGTGATGTTGTTTGGTTGCCATGGTAAGCCGTCTACACTGAACGTAGTTTAAATTATAACAGCATGTTTTTTCCTTGTTGAACCACTTGATCTTACAGATAAAATTGTAATAACATAAAACAAACCTTTGGTAAGTTACGTATGTGCCCACCTTTGTTATATATTATAATTATTTTTACTTTCAAGAACCTCTTTTACCTATTTATCTTAAGCCTTAGCAGAGAACTGGGCAAATTTTACAGTTTGGGAGAGGGTACGTACATTGTCTATTGTACTTGTCCTTTTAACGTTGCGTCGTGTCGTCATCAAATTTCCATTCCTATCCAAAGCTGCTCTTGTCAATACTCGAATCATTTGGAAGTCAAATACAGTGGCTGATTAGACCAAAGCACGCTATTTCGCAGGTGCCCCTTAAATCGGGTTTAATAAAAATTGTTTGATTTAGAAGTACTTCCCAAAAAGTTTATAGCTGCATTATGGCAAATATGGCAAATATAACACTTAAAGAAAAGCATTCATACAAGGAAAGCCGCCCGATCCTTTCGACGTCACCTTTAGAGTTAAACAAAGATAGCAGATCGATCCTTTTGAAATTTTGATCTTTTATTTTCTGAATCAAACAAAATGACCGACCACCTCTTTGACAGTCTTTCTGTACTTTTCTTCAGTTTCTTATTGAACAATAACATAAGTAGATCTAATATCAAGAAATAAAAATAATTTTCAAATCTGTTCTTATACAGAAGATAAAGTATAAATAGAATCTAGTATATATGGTTCTATAAAAGCATAAGTAGATCTAAAAAAATATCTTAAATAATAACATTGAAATCTTTACTTAGGGAAAATATAATACGCAGATATCATGTAACAGATATATTTCTATAAAACAATAAAGGATTTTGCTGTTGGACAACGAATAAATCGTATTAAAATATGTGCTGTGTCCGAGTAATGGAAAATGAAGTGATAATGCTTTAAAGCTATAAGTTCGCTTTAAACCTGCAAATATAATGGTATAGCACTATTCACAAAATTTTGATCTACACTTCTGTGATGAACTCTTTAAGTGATTAAATTACTAAAATGCAAAGAGAGTTTATTTTTGCCAAAATAACTGACATGTCCTTTTAGTGATTATTTTAAATACAAATTTTTTCATGCAGAAAAATCATGTCAATAGCAAAGGAAACACGAATTATTTGGAATTATGAAATTTATGATTATTTCCTCATTACTAATGAAATAACTTTCTATTAATATTTTACACCAAGGACTTATCGGAAAGACACAAACATACTTTAAAGGAATTGGCATTACAATTTGAGCCAATTTATTAATTTGTGTCAAAAGCAGAAGTTGCTTAAGTTATGCAGTTTGAATACATAATTTTATATCCTTTCTGAAATCTTCCAATAAATGCATTGATTTATTTCAGTTAATGTGCTTGTGAAGGCGGAAATTTGGCAAATAAAATATAATTTATTGTTACTATGACATTAACCTAATCATCGCTGTATTTTACAAGTAGTACTCGTATCTATACATAAAAAGATATTACCGTATGAATAATTTTGGGTTAAAATAATTGGGTTAATTGGCAATAATATTTTGTACATGCTTAACATGGGATTAACAATTCAATTGATTTCTGTTTGGGTTTGGGTTTGGGTGTAATATGATTCATAATTGTAGATCTTGACTGAGATATAATTCTTGTATAAAAATAATTCCTATTATGTATATATATTTTCCAATTTGATTTAAATTTTTAAACAAATATTTTTATGTTTATGTTTATTTCCAGTTTTTGTAACAACAAGACAACAGCGCTACACTCGCCAACCCAACTTTGCTAAACATCGACAAGTTGTTTACAACGAATTTTTATAATAAAAATAAAAAAAATTACTAAAAAAATATTTAAAAAAAATTGCTAAACCACATAAAAGTTCATAAATTTAACGGTACTAAAAGGACGCACAAATTTATATACAAGTAAGTTCTTAAACACAGTTTGACTTTAAGGATAAACCAAAAATCTACTATAGAAACTTTATAAGCACAAGGCTAAATTGAAAGTTTACAACAGTAGTACTGATTTTGGTCTCTTTTTTTAATATGTAATAAATTTCGCCGACTTTTCCAGTTGTAAGTGAAAAAAAAATGAAACTTAAAAAACTTGCAAGGAAAATGTGTAAAATTGTTTTTCTTAGTTTGAGTACGTATAAAATTTGTAAAATATCATAAATTTTATAGCTACGTAGTATTACAACTCTGCTACACCCAAAATTTAACGGATGTAGCAGGACGACCTTAAGAATAACTTTACGTATAAAAATTGAAGCGAAAATCTAAGTGAAAACTTTAACGCTTCAATGGTCTACACAACCCACTTAACTGTAGTCCATTTCCGCTTTTAAAGGCAACAAGGTTGGCGCCGGGTTTATTTCTTCACACAATTTTAAAGGAATTTTAGCTATTATTTTTATGATTTGCTTATTGCAGTAAATTATTATTTTAAAGGTACTTGAAACTCTTCACTTTTAAAACTTATTTAATATTAAAACTCTTAACAATAATATGAACCAATTTTGGAGATTGTTGGCTAGTTATTAGCAAGGCTTTTATCACAAATACCATATTAATATCAGATTAGGAAATTAATGGGGTTGTAGTTTCATTTTATTTTATTAATTCATAATGATAATAAAATTCTTAATATATTGCTACATTTGCTAAAATTGTAGGATTACATTCTTTACAACTTAAATGTGAAGTGTTTTAATACTATTTTTGATAATTATCAGCAAAAAGGATTACTTACTTAAATAAAAAAATGTATTTATTTATAATTATTTAATATCAAAATTGATACTACTTTTGATACTAATAGTAACACTACGTATCCATATAATATATATAGTACAATATATATAATACAATATATATAATAAAATATGTAATTATATATAATATAGTTATATAATTTATATAATACTGACAACAGAAAATATACCAACTAACAAACGCCAAACCATATAGTTTCCTATTTTGCAGGTTCTTCCAGATTACTTACTTCTTAAATGACCATAACAATCCGTTACTAACCAATATTGATAATCTGTATTCTCCCAAATCTAGCGTAAATCTATCTATTAATATGTTCAAACTTGCTTTGAGTCTTATAATAAATTGATATATCACTATTTTTCGAAATCGATATTTAACCGGTTAATTTCGATTTATTAAAATAAATGAAAAGACAAAATTTTATTACATAAATCTGCCTCAAGCCAATAAGAACAGTACAATTATAACACTAAATATATTTAATTTAAATTTCAAATACAACTCTGAGTATTATTTGAAGTATATATAGTATTATTATTTAACTACAACAACAATTGCATTGTATTTAAAATAAATCATATAACAATGAACGATATTTATTTACAAATGGCCTTAGCTCGAAACAATATAGTAGACGCCTACTTTATAAGAATTAGGCTATCAAATTTAATAATAAAATAAATGACGTCTATTACAATAAATGCATTGTCGTTAACATAGTAGAAAGACTCTTAGTACAAGAATTAATCTATTACAGTTTAGTAGTCTATTGTAATAATAAGCTTCAGCTTGAACGAACTATAGCGCAAGAATTTGGTGACATCTACATTGACACATTAATATTAATATTTATTTTTATTATTTAGACTTATTATTAATCTTTATTTATATTATTTAGACTGTTTTCCAATACTTCTACTACTTTTGCCTATTCAGATTGTTTACATATTTTAGATCAAGAGGATTCAATTTTCAATATACTCGTATATTTCCTTGTTCTAACAAACTTTTATTATTAGTAGAACTGTCAGAAAGATATGTTCAGAAGCAAAAGCTTTATAATTCTACTACAATTCCATATTCAGCATTGTATTAAATGAGTTATGAAACTAGTGAAACTAGTTTCTCTCGCTAAAATACTTTAAACGAGTTTCAAGTGACGTTGTAGATAAGGTTTTACATATTACAGATTACTTAAAGTTAAATACATTTGCTATAACTGTGATGTATGTATAGTGGTACAGTGTTAAAATTCCTTAATTTTGTACAGGATAAAAATAATTGATCATTTATTTAGAATATCAAAAAAAATAAGAATAATTCTTTTAATAAATTTTAAAATAAAAAGCAAATTTAATTTTCAAATATATATGTATATTATTTTTATAACTCTATTACCTCTATTACCTGCCGATGTTGGACTTAGTGTACAGATAGGAAACAACTGTGCTTGCAAAAACTGTACGCGTCCAATCCCAAGTCCCGTTATATCCATTTTAAGAATATATATATAATTTAAAACTTAGGTGACATATTAATTTTAAATTTTTTTGAAATATATTATATTGAGAGTATCTATACAGAGATTTTCAAAAGAAGTCTTTTTCATTTTTATTTAATGTTTTTAGTTAGTACTTTCTTTAACTTAGATTTAGTGTATATATATCTGCTAAATTGAACACTGAAGGCATAAGCGAGTGACGTGAAGGAGTTTACTTCGCAACTAATATGTATTCTTTAGTAGAGCAATACATTCTTAATCAGCGAGACTTTTTTAATGTATCTATAACTTGAATAGGAATTTTTATTACTTTATTATTATAACTAATAAATTATTTTGCTTAAATAATCCATCACAAAAGTTTACTATGTTAGAACTTTTGGCTGTTTATCTTAAATGTGAGACTTAATTTACAATTAAAGAACCTTGTCGAAAATTTTACTGTATAGTTTTTTATTTTGTTTGCTAAGCAATAGTGTTTTTTTTTCATATTATTTTATTTTTATATTTTTAATTTTTTTTTTTTTTGTTGAACTTTGTAAATTTTTAGTTTTCCGTCAAATTTTTATTTTGTTAGGCACTAAGCTCCTGTTATTGTTTTCAGAATTTTACTTTACTCACTTCAGTTCGCTTAACTTGTTTTGCTTTTAGAAATTAACATTTTTGGGAAATTTGACCAAAGAGCACTTAAACTACAAAAAAATTTACAAAAACTCGAAAACTAAAACATTTTCCAACATTAAATTGCCGATAGCAGTGGTTCCGGTTTAGAAACTTTTTTAGTTTTCAGCAAAAAAAAAGTAAAAATTAACAACAACGATTTTGTTTATCCAACAAAACATAATTTTTGCACTATAACTCTAAATCTAAAACGATTTTAATAAGCCGCAAAATATGCTTCAATTTTTGATGAATATTTTTTCAACTCTTTTTTAAACGAAACCAAAAAAACGACTGACGACCGAAATTCTCAAATATGTAACCAAATATTTACGTATTTGAATTCCTTTGTTTTCTATTTCACTATTAGCAATGCAAATAGGATAACAATAAAAAAAAGCAGAAGAGGCAACAAAATACCGATACCCTTAAAAAAAGTCCTTGGTAACGACTTGGTGTATGAAATTCAACAACGCTCAAATAGTTGCATTGCAGCGGTTATAGCAAAATTCCGTCTATTGTCTGCCTGGATTCGAATGCCTTTGGTTTCGTTGTCGCATGCCAATAATTTGGCTGGGTTTTTCGGAATAAAATTTATTCATTCAAAACCAATTGCAATATTTCGAAATTAGCCATATTATATTTACATAATTTAAAATTTTATCGATATGCTAGAAACTTGTGTATAAGAATTTAATTGGTTTCTTTATGTTTAGATCGAGTCAGTGTTATTTGGTTTTAGTTTTTCATTATATGAAAATATATTATTACTTTTGGAAGAGGCAATGGCAATGGTAACTAAGGATGGTTACGTTACAGAAATTAAATCTATGAATAAATATAGCAATAATCATTGAACCACTACACCCGTCTTGCCTTGTCCTTCTACGAAATAACAATTAGAATTTTCTAAAAATATGATATGCCTGTCATAAGAGGCGACTAATATGCATAAAACGCGAGATTGATCCCATCAAAAAATACATAAAGGATAGAGCCTTGAAATTATTTGCGAAAACTGACAGACTTACCAACACCGCGTTATCAAATCTCAGAATGGTTACAGGCTCTCGGAAGGTATGAGATCTGAGGTCAATTATTGCTTAGTCTGATGAAGTGATAAACAATAATTCAGTCAAGGCGTAAAGAGGGGTTTTGAAAATACCTCGAGTTAAGAAAGAGTAAAACTGCTCAAGTGTACTAGCTTAAAAAGCTTCAACATAATAAGTGGGTTTCACTTGGTATACCCCAACATAGTCAAAATTTGGCACCATGAGATTCAAGTGCTCGTGACATTTTGCTTTTCTGAACTTTTAAGTTAGATCTTTCGAAAGGCGTCGTAGGGGTCGTGGTTGATACCAAAAGGTACGCATGTAAATGTCAGCACTTGTGCTTGCACTCTATGTGGTGTTGAATTGTAATCAGGTACCATGACGCGCAGACGAAAAAAGGTTTTAAATCAGTGTGGTTCTCTACTAAGAGAATGGCATGTCTATACAAGTCGGCGCATTATAACGATCCAAGTGTTATAAAGCAGTGTAGTGTTCAGGTGTTAAGGTAGGTAAGTACGTAAACACAAGCGGACTCAGTATTCTTAAGTTCAAAAGTGTAGATTTTTTTCCTGCCATTCTCTTCTGAAAATGATATGACTGCAATACCATTCCTCTAAATTCTCAATCGTTGTTTTTCGGTTCAAGCTACCATTACCCGGACGACAATTACCTTGCAAGTTTTATTGTATTGACTGGTCTGTTATATATTTTTCAGTTCTGCAAAGATTGTGGCCAATTCAACACTATTTATACCCACTTATTTCATTGTCTAATCTACAACAACGTGCCTTCCTTTTCCTCTTGCAAAATATCTCTAATCAGTATCAAACACCTAAGATAAATGGGCAGACTATAAACAGCTTTTATCTTAATAAGTGTGGAATAAATGACATTAGTAATTTTTTTTTTATTTTTGGATAAAAGCAAAAAAGCAATAAAAAATTTTTATTGAATATAGCATATATAGATCAAAGAGTCCAAAAATTTAATTTTTTTGTAGAAAGATCTTGTGACTTTATGTCTCAGATGAAAAATAAACGAGCATCCTCCTAATTAATTAATGCTGTTTCAAATCATTTGTAAAAAAATTTGTCTTCAATTTACCTGCCAATAATACAACTTATAAAATGATTTAGAAAATCTAGCAATAAATGTTTACACATAATAGCAAATATATTAAATTCCTTACGTTTGGACAGTGTAACGTGAATATTTTGCAAGGTGCTCACAAGGTAGCTGCTGTCACCTTGACAATCAAAATAAACTTACTCATTTGGCAGAAAGCAAAATGCTCGCCTATTTGCAAATATTTAGATACAACACCTGTTCAGAGATCTAAATTACTGACAGTTTAGCTCAAAAATTTGGTGTTCTTGTGTATCTTTGGTCATTATTTAACGCCTATGCCTGCCCAAATGCTCACGCGGATATTTAAATTGTTTTCGGATTATTAGCGAATTATTTTTCTTTTCTTTCAAATCAATTAATTTTTTCTACACTAAACAACAAATTCAAAAAAAACATTATTTATAAATTTATATTTATATATGAATGATACATCAAAACAAAAAGTGTTTTGTTTTTCTGTTTGTATATTACGGTTGGTGATGCATAGAATTGTCGAGTTGACAAATGACCGATTTTGACAGGTTGGCACAGAAATTTTTTCAAATAGGTCTCATATAAAAAATATTTTAATAATATTTAATTAATTTGTTAATTTAAAAAGTCTCTGTAATATGTGCTTTACACATATAACAGAAAGATATCAAAACAATTTATGATTTTTTTTTATAAAGAATAGCATTTCTTTTTGCTTAATTAAATCTGTCTAAATTTATTTAATTTAAGTACATTTATTTTATATACAAAGTATTTGTTATTATATCTAATTTTACTTAAATGAGAAAGTTAATGTCCGTCTTTTTCAACGTTGTCCCTCTGCCTGTTATATGCACAATATTAACCCGTGGTAACATAATGGATCATTATTTGTGCTACAATGGACTTTGGTGTGCAATACCGACAATTTAATTGAAACTCACCTATAACTAACTATTAAGATATCAAAATAAAAATTTGAAAAGAGTAAGATATATATTTCAAAAATAATATTGTAGCATTAAAGTCGGTTTTATTTTTTCAGAATTTTAACTTTTATTTCGATCCTTGCTTTTAGTACATATATTTCTATACGTATTTCGGCAAATTCGCTTTTCCTTCATCAGAAGAATTCCTAATATTGTAGTCCTAATTGACAAAATTATACAACTCCCACTTTATAACTTTTAAACTCGTAGTAATATTGCATCCATTTTTCGCCAAATAAAAGTCGATAGATGATACCATTTCAATCTATATTTTGAATACAATTTTATCTCTCTAATAATCGACGTTAGTAGTTTGGAAAATTAACGCTCAAGTAGAATAAAATCTCAATGAAACATATCAATAATGATCACAAAATGGAAACACTAAAAGTATGAGCTTGTAAAGCTCAAAGTGAAACTTTACTAGTTCCAAATAGTACAAGATTTTACAGAAGCCAAAAGAAATGACCTTAACAGAACCAAGCAGCTATTGCACTTGTACAATAAACCGAAACACTGAATAGTATTTTCACTGATGAGAAGTACCTACTTCCAAATTTAGTAATTCAAAAACGATCAATGAGATCGAGTTTACTTGACTGTGACGTTATTTTAAAATTTGGATATTTAAAAGTCTAAAAAATTCCTACTCGATGATGGCTCTCGGTTGCTAGTTTTAGACCCTGATAGAATTGATTCGAATCTTTACGCGAAAAAGTTAGAAAAGATTCTGTAAGAAAAGAGAAAAGACTGGACGTTGCAGCAGAACCACTTTTTATGAATTTGTTAGTAATAAAATTAACATTCAGAGTGACTGTTAGTTACACGGATAGTTATATAGTATATGATTCAGATCCTACTAGTTTAAATTCTCGAAATAATTTCTCTTTTTACTACGCTCTTCGACATAAGTAAATACTTTACTTTTCTTAATTATTTTTTTATATTTATATAATTTTAAAATGAAAGGAAAAATTAAAATATATTTAAAAAAAACCCTCAAATTAACGATTAGATGAAAATATGTATATATATATATATAAAAAACCTCTCAAAACTTACCGTTTGGGTAGTCAGTGAGTATGAGTGCATATTCCATGATTATTGCTTGCATTGATTAAACTCAATGATTCATGCAATGACACAATATTGTTCACACTTTATCTATACTTTGAGCACATATTGCACTTCAATTCACTTGAATTCACTCTGTACTTTTATCATTCATCAATATTTGCATAACCAAAACTAATAGGCCTACTTCCACAGTTAAAGTACTTACGAGCTAACAAACTCACGCGATGCACTAATAACCTCAATTTTCAATAGAAATACTTTACTTTCAGTTTACACTCCTCTACGTTTTAAATGCTTACAACCACAGGAACACAATTTAATCCAATATTTAAGAAATCTTAAACTTTAATTAAAATCAGAACAGAATTTTCTGTACTTAATTTAAATCTCAAATTTGCAATTTGTATCTGATTATTTGCCAAATTTATTGCGCCCACCTACCAATCAACAAGCTTAGCTATGAAAAGTAAACACAAAACATGATTAACTTAATTAAGTTAAATAATTAACTTCAGCTCTATACTGTAAAATTAACGATGTGGAGAAGAGATTTATACTTTAACACTTTTAATTAAACTGAACGTAGTTTACTAAGGCAATTACCACATTTCTGCCACATTCGATTACCGAAATCTGTAAGTCTTTCTTAGGCTCAAAATTTATGGCAAGAGTTATCGCTTGCCAGCGAAGCAGTTCATCGACTGAATTACCGAAATTACTTAACCACGCTGACAAGTCTAGTTTGTGAGCCTGCCAGCCTACCAACATCAGACATTGCGATATAACCTCATTTACTCAGGCTCGTTTGTATGTACTTTGACACATACGTGCATTGTGTGTCTATACACGTATGAACGTGTGTCCGTCTGTCAGCTAGTCTGCTGTATTTCGTTTTAATGTTTACGACTTCCAACATCATTATCCTCGTCGTGATTACATTTCACAATTTTAAAATAGTTTCGTTCGATGTCACTTTCATTGAAGCTGGTGGCGTGTTTTTAGTTTAGTGCGCACGTGTTGCCTGCTTTTAGGCGCACTCACCCGACTCCAATACAAAATGGTACCATTTTTCACGTAGAATAATTTAGTTTGTGTTAAGTAATGTTTATTATATTTTATGCTGATGAGTGTTGTTATTTTTAGACTCTCGAGCGTACTGCATTATTTGTGGTGTGACTGTATCCAAAAATAGTAGAGATACTAAATGTGGTTGCTTAAATGAAGTTGCTTAGCATGAATTGCTAAGGCCTATCATTTTTTATACGCTGATTGCTAAGAAAACGGCATTACGTCGTCCTTGCAGAAGTTTTTGTTTTATTACAGTAATTTTTAAATGAAAATTTATATTAAGTTAATGTTATTTCCTGAGGTCATGATAAATAGATAAACTATAAAATATTATCTTAAATGTCCTAACTACAATAGTAAATAGAAGAAATACTAAAAAAGATATTGAAAATATTAATATTTTGTAATATAAATCAAAAATAGATAAAACGTATTAATAATGTGACCTTCCCTAAATATACTACTGTTTATTATGATCATTAAATTTGTTGGGTATTACTTTTGTTGCTAAGATTTCGAGATGAAACACTTAGATATGTAATATGTAACTTCTACACAATGAAATATTGAATAATATTATTGATATTAAATAAAGTATTTAACCAGCATCGTATGGTCAGCCAAATTTCAATAAATTGTTTGTTGTTGTTTCTTCATTACTATTCGAATCCTTCTAGTTTATTTTCGTCCTACGACGCGTCACATTTGATAAAAAAATCAATCTTAAATATACTATTGTTTAGTGTGAGTAGTGAGTAATATTCTAAGATAGGTTACTATCCTATTGCCTATTGCTATACTCTTAAAGTTACCAGGGTCCCCACCTCTACACTAACCATTGTCTCCAATGTAAAGTAACAGTAAGACTAACGAATAACGAACAAAATCTTCAAACTAGCGTCTTTCAGGCTATTAAATCGAAAAAACTATCTATCCAGTACAATAGACTTCTCAAAATAGACTTAAAATTCTAATGCCACAAATAAAATTTTTTCCATACAAATGGAAAAAATATTTAATGACGAATTATGCAGCAAGGATAATTATGATTGGTAATAAATAATGGCTTCGTGATTAAAGTTGCTTTGTTTGAAGTTTTTTTGGCATTGTTAATAGATTTTTTTCATAAAAGCGAAATGGAAAAATATTTTTATATCTTTTCGTTGACGTCAATTGCAACGTTTTAATGCCAAAATAAGATACAAAAAAAAATATTCCAATAACTTTTGCGGTTGCAATTTGCCTTTTGCATGTTGGTTATTTCACAAGTATTTATCATAATGCAGATACTTTTAAAATTTTTAATTTTTTATATAAGTTAAAATATATAAGTTGTGAAAAAAATTAGAAAAATGTGGCACTTACCCGATTTTTCATCCATTACGTGTTGGAACGATTAATTTAGTTGTGTTTTCCAAAAATCGCAGCTTCGTGGATACATTGATTATAAACCAAACTATAAAATATACTTATAAATTTAAGTTGTCCCACAATTTCACACTTTTCGATGCACTTTTGTACTGTTTTCAAAAACTATTGGGGATTGGAAAATTAAAAGTTTTTAGTTACCGAAAGAAATTAATTAAAAAAAATTATACATCTGCAAATAATTTTTTTTTGATTTAATTTCACAAAAAAAAAATTATTTAAATTTCAATATGTTTTTAAAATTCAAACCTTACTATGTTAAAATTTTGAACCGTATTATTCGATATATTTACTCCTAAAGTGCAAATTAATTTGATGCTAGTGAACTTCCGCTCTGTTCTACCTGTTAATTCGTACAAAAATTAGAAGTTAATAAACTATTATTGAAAACTGCCGAAGTGCCTTACTTTTTTTCTTTTCTAATATATTCAAAAAAACAGTGGCGATTTTCCTTTCTTTACTTTTACAATTTTTATCAAGAAAAAAATATAATAAAATAAAATTTTAAATTTTTGATTTTTAAAACATATTTTCATTCTTCAATATATTTAAAAAAAATAGTTAAAAGTTAGATTAAAATGTTTTATTGAATATATTTACACCAGTTTATGTATACCTAATACATAACTGATGACAATATATATGTAATATAGCAAAAAAGACATTGATAACGATGTAAGCCATATATGTATATTATAGAGCACCTACTACTTATAAGAAATGTATCGTTGAACATATTTTAGGGTTTCATAGAAATAACAAAATTATTTTAAGTTCGCCGGAAATTATATAGCTACATAATAGGTCAGGCCTAAGTGGTGGATCCCTATGCATACTGTAAAAATCCAATAACTCAGTTTATCAGTTAGACAAAATTAACCATATTAGCGATATTTGTCTGTCTATTTCTTTGGTGTTAATGAGAGTGTTAAAAAATTTGTATAAATTTAGACTAATTTTAGACTGGTTCACAAATGACTGTTGAAGTAGTTAAGTAGTTGTGGTCTTTAATTTTTATTATTTCAAAATCGACACAGGTTAACTTGGCGCGTTCTGTTATCATATTGCAATTATTATTATAATTATTATTATGTAGCTTCTACCGGAGCTTCTACCGTAGTCATTAGACTAGAATATATATACATTACTGAGTTGTGTCAATCTAAAAGATAATGTCAATGTCTCAATGTTATTTAACGTAATATTCTAGGCTATGATGGCTTAATATTACGGTGTTTAAAAATACGTGTATTAATACAACACGTCAATAAATAGTCCATTAAAATTTTATAAGAAGAGTCCGCCGGTACCAATGAAGAAATGTGTACAGACTTAACTTCCACCTTTGTTTAGTGCGAGGCCCATCTACACCTCTACTACTCTTTGGGTCATACCACCCGGTGGTGAGCGCAACTCCACAACTCCACGTCGAATGAATGATGCATTCTTCTTGCATAAGTTTGAGTATCAACCACAGCCACTACGAGTCCAACCGTAACTGGTCAGCACAACTGAAGCTGCGAGCACTGACCCCCATAGTACCGGAGTTACACCTCCGGCCGTGTGTCGCAGGTTGGGACAACACCTATTACCATACACACTTCTCACATAAGTATCGGCGTGAAACCGGGATTTTAGTCGCCTTTTACGACAGGCATGCCTTACCTGAGAAATATTCGAACCATTTCACAGCAAGGGGAAATCTTCGAGACAGTGGTACTGGATGACTGCTTTTAGTACTGTATGTCATTTCTTCATATAATAAGAGCCCTCCACGTCATTTTTAGAACTAATTTTAGCGAGATATATCTAGTATGTTAAAGATCTGGAAATTAATTTCAAGTCGTTTAAAAACCAATTTCAAGAAAGTCCAATTTGTAAGAATTCGAGTGAAAGGTGCTTTGGCTTGCCTCAAAACTTTTTTTATTGTACTTTTTGTTAAAGAATTTTGATGGAAGCTCGTCATTGATACAATTTCCTGTTATATTGTTGTGTCTCGGTATAGAATTAACGTGTATGTTAAATTGCTGAACCATCTGATTTAGAAATCAGGTTTATTTTTAATTATAAATTATTACTTTACAACACTTACATTTTTAAATGTAGTATTTCATTAATGAATAAAAACTATTCATTCTCCCGCCACTGTTTTTGATAATAGAATTGGCACACCTTTACTTATAGTATACAAAATAAAATTTATAAAGAACATTGTACTGGTGAGGTAAAGTTCAATGAATTCTTTTGCACCTAAGCACGCATATAGGAAAGGATTAAAGTACACGAATACTGTATACTGTATACTCCTTCCATCCCGGTATACTCATTTTTGGTTTGACTATAAACACGTGTGAAAACTTTGCCATTTATTAAATGGTAGAACCTCGGATCCATTTACTTTACATCAAAGTGCTTTACCATACTGTAAAACACAACAGTAAGCAACGAGCAGCTTGCATTCAAAGTTAATGGTGAAACATATGTGTAGTGACGTATGAATCTGTATGTGTACAGCCAAATGTATCTTAGAAATACTTGTATGCAGACATGCATTGCAGCGCAGATACACGTAAATATCTTTTGGTGCACGGTTCTGCGAAGTTATAATTTATTTTATACACAGGTACGTAGATTTTGTGCCACTTTATATTGTGATTAAACAAGGATTGCGCTGGGATTACGCTATTTCCATTTAAATGTAGCACAGGACAAAAGCAAAAATAACGCCAAAACAACAAAAACGAAAAATAAAATACAAATGTTGGAATAAAATTTATTCTAATATTTTTTTTTTTGTTCTCAGTTTTTCCATTTTTCATTTAAATTTTCGCAAACTAATTTTAAACTTTGTTGTACGAAAATATTCATAAACAAAGCTAAGCTAAGCTAAGCCACGTTAAAGGATTGCATATGCATTAGGTGTGGTTTTTAGTGGGCGATATATGGGCTTTTGTGCCGATTTTTGTTCACAATTATTAGCAAAAATGTATATTTAGTTTATTTATTCTGTATTTTTTATTCAATTTATTATGCATTTAAAACTTACTTCAGAGTATTTATTGTTTTGGAATATGAGGCGGCAGCATGAGTGAAGTTTTTCCTTCATACTCGCAGTGAAACAGAGTTTTGCATTGCTATAGAAATAATTTAATTAGACAATGCATATATAAATCAAATAAATCTGTATAGATAATATTAATAAATATAAAATAAGTAGTAGTAACAATTTAAAATAATACAAATTGATTTTAATGTAATTACATTTTTTCTAGCGTTTTTGCATTTATATGCAATATTAAAAGCTATTTTGCTGCAATCGACAGAATTTAATTTAGAATCTTTTATTTTTTATTTCCGCAAATGTTTCGATTCGTTCAGCAAATGCAACATCGACAGCTGTTCAAATATTTGCAATAGAAATTCCATTTTATTTACAACAATTTTACAATATCTAAAGGATATTGATGCTATTACATTTGCAAATGCAATAATAATAAAACGAAATTGTTTAGAATTGCTGAGTATTTCACGTTTTTTATTCTGCTGCACTCCGTGTTGCATTTTAAATTATTTGGTGCACTGAAAGAGTTTCCTATCTCAATACGTGAATACTGATTTTATATCCTTTATATGTTTTTATAGTTCATTTCTATACATAAATATTAATAAGAGTGAAGTTAAGTAGTAGTATCGCAATAGTTTATTAATGTATAATTCCACTAGAGACACAAACTTAGGTGTACTTATGCGTACTTTGCCATGCTTGCTTTTTTTTAGAAAGCAGAAGAGGAATATCATATAATATAATATTTATTGATTTCATTTATAGAATGAAAACTGGTATTAAAGGAATAGCAGTTTCTTTATCGCTATTAAATGAACATGTTATCCTGTAAGGCAAGCTATCACTGGAATGAATCATCTAAGTTCAAATGCAAGTGGGAGCTTAAAATTTAAATAACAAAGCCTCAATTACTTTTTAAAATATTGTTGGCTTCCTAACACTAATAGGTATTATTGAAAAAAGTGGTAATCAAGTTTACTGTTGTATATATACATAAAATAGGGGGATTAAGTCTCGCTAAGAAGGGGGTGTTATAGTCCGTATACTACATATTAATGTTGGAGAATCTGCCACACCATTTCTGCAGTCGATTTGATGGTGCATAAAGCATTCCACCATTCTACATTTATTTATGAGTATTCTTTATTTAAAGTTTCCAGAACATTAAAATAATTGCATTTATGGTAAAACGTTTCAGTCTGTCTAAAACTGGACTGATACAAAGAATGTACTATGACTCTTTACTGTCCATTTCACAAAAATGACAAGCATCAGTGTCTGATAGCTCCAACTTATTTAAGTAATGTCACAGGTTGCATTAACCCATATAAAGTCATTAAGTCTACCCTGATTAGCGAAGGTACCACACATTATATTTCTTTTGCTGGGATGAGAATTTGTTTAATTAGATGTTAACGTATATTAGGAAGCCAAGGGTTTGTAAAAACAAGTAGCTTTTTGTAAGACCACAGAAAGACTCAAGTTCAATTTAGCATATTTTCACTTCTCTTGACTGGGTATAATAGATATAATATTACCATAGCCCAATATTTTCACTTGTAAGAAAATTAATTGCTTCACGATGTACCGTACCATCTTATCTAAAAAGTTGCAGGAACAAAATAATATACCCTTAGAACTAAAGAAATTGAATTCCTAACATTTACGTAGTAAACCCCTTTACATCATTTATGCAATATTCCGTATAAGCAATTATTATATATTTTAGCTGTTATTATCTTGGGGCTATTATTACAACTAAACCTATTTAAGGATTGAAAATGGATTATAATTGTTTCTATTTTTAATCGAATTTAAGAAATGACAACAAAACTCGCTAGGTCGATATGTTTAGTCAATTACACATATTACATATGAGTAAATTCGTAATAATAACAAAGAACTAATGAGTGCTTCGAACTTATTTTACCAAACTCTCTAATCCAGTCTTTATTAGCCTTAAGTTTATCTTTCGTTCTCTTTGTTGGCCATATGAAACCTTCTAATTCCCAGAAAGCAGCAATTAAAATTTATCAAATTATATTACTTAATTGTTAGTGTCATCGTAACGTGCGGTTTTCTTCCTTAGTAACAAGCTTACAATCTTTAGTGAATTTCTATATATAATTGTAAGCATGTTTGCCAGTAATCATACGTCACTCGATAGTTGTAATTTAGTACATTTGCTTGATCGATATGCAAATTCCATAGCTGCCTTACGCGTACTTTCCATTCCTTTAGGTGGAAAACACAAGTCTGTTTTCTATGCCAGACAACAACAGAGACAGGCACATAAATTTAAGAATGGTCGATGCACTGCAATTGCCTTCGGTTAAAGACATTTCTAAAAGGAATTACTTTAAATAAAAAATATTTAAATTAAATATATACATCATTTAAATATTATTTTATATTTTTTCTGCTTGCAGTTTTACTTGTTAACGGCTGCCTACTACGAAATTTCCCGATTGCATTTAATATTAGAAAAATAAACATTTGACAATAAAAGAAAAACTGCATTCTCGCATTCTCCAAGTTTTCATCAAATAAAATGGGTCGGAAAATTACTGTCGCAGTCTCGACACTAAATCAATGGGCACTGGATTTCGAAGGCAACTTAGCCAGAATATTACAGTCTGTCTTGGAAGCCAAAGAATTGGGCGCTTCATATCGCACAGGACCTGAATTGGAAGTGAGGTACATAAATAATTTGAAATAAATTTAAATATTTTTTCATTAATTTTTCTCATTTAATTGCATTCTGATATTCCCTTTGCAGTGGCTACAGTTGTGAAGATCATTTTCGTGAACCGGACACTTATTTGCACTCATGGGAAGTTTTACTGGAAATCATGATGTCACCCATTTGGTAAATATAATAATAATAAATTTTATTTTATTTGTCATAAATTAATTTTTATCGTAAATTTTCCATTTTTCCCTTTGCCTCTTTCTCTTTTTGTCATATTCTCCTTTGGCATTAATGCAGTGAAAATATGTTGGTTGATGTCGGCATGCCAGTAATGCATCGGAATGTTGCCTACAACTGCCGGGTTGTGTTCTTTAATCGAGAAATACTACTGATTCGCCCCAAAATGGCAATGTGCGATGACGATAATTACAGAGAGTCGCGCTGGTTTACGGCTTGGACAAAAGTAAGTCTACATTTGGGAAAAATATAAAGAATTAAACTTATCTCTTTTTATTTTAATTGAAAATTTAATTGCGCTTGCAGTCACTGCAAACTGAAGAGTACTTCCTGCCACGAATGGTTGCGCATCACACTGGGCAAACCACAGTGCCAATTGGTGATGCAGTTATTGCTACAAAAGACACTTGCATTGGGTATGAGATATGCGAGGAGCTTTGGAATGTTCGAAGGTTCTTATTTTTCTATTTTATTTGTTGCATTCCATTAAGGGAAATAATTTCTTTTTTAAATATTTAAAACATGCTTTACATTTATCAGTAAACACATCGAAATGTCCTTATCTGGCGTGGAAGTGATTGTCAACAGTTCTGGCAGTTATATGGAATTGCGAAAGGCTTATATTACTACCGATTTGGTACGCAACGCTAGTTTTAAGGCGGGTGGTGCCTATTTATTCAGTAACTTACGTGGGTGTGATGGACAGCGCGTGTATTTCAATGGTTGTTCGGCAATTGCATTGAATGGAGAAATTGTAGCAAGAGGAAAACAGTTTTCCTTACAGGATGTGGTAAGTGGAAATGCTATGTTGATGCAATGAAATTAAATAAATAAATAAAAGTGAGGCCAAAAAGGTCTACTCAATAAACATTAAATATTAATATGAAAATCTGCTTCGAAGCAAAATGTGAAATAAAATATTTATTTAAAAATAGTAGAAGTTGAGTTGAGCACTAAAGCGATACTTGAAATTATAATGAATATTACTTCAGTATCAAATCAATACTTGAATACATTGTGAAATTGTTCTTAAAGGAGTTAAATTTTTTTCTTTTAAGGAAGTAACAATAGCCACAATAGATCTTGAAGATATACGTTCATATCGCGTCTCCCAACGTTCACGTTGTAACATAGCTGCCTCCGCGCCCACCTATCCGCGTATTGTGTGCGATTTTGAGATGTCCACACACAACGACATATTTAAATTTGCCAGTACTCCAATGCAGTGGATATATCATTCACCTGAAGAAGAAATTGCAATGGGTCCAGCTTGTTGGCTATGGGATTACCTTCGTCGCTCTGGTCAAGGTGGTTTCTTTCTGCCGCTAAGCGGTGGTGTTGATTCAAGTAGTTCTGCTACAATTGTACATGCAATGTGTCGACTTATTGTTAATGCTGTTCAAGCTGGAGATGCGCAGGTTCTTCACGATATACGTAAAATACTAGCTGACGCTGAATATACACCTGATAATCCCGCCGCTCTTTGCAATAGACTTCTAGTTACATGTTTTATGGGCAGTGTAAATTCTAGCAAAGAAACACGCCGACGCGCTTCACTATTAGCTAGCCAACTTGGCAGTTATCATATAGAAATTAGCATTGACACAGCAGTGAATGCATTGCTAGGCATTTTTAATGCCGTGACAGGCCTAACACCTCGCTTTCGTACTCAGGGTGGTTGTGCACGTCAGAACCTCGCATTACAAAACATACAATCACGCATTCGCATGGTGCTTGCCTATATATTTGCGCAACTCATGTTATGGGTACGAAATCGTCCCGGTGGTTTGCTTGTTTTAGGCTCGGCAAATGTAGATGAATCCTTACGTGGTTACTTAACAAAATACGATTGTTCCTCTGCTGATATAAATCCTATAGGCGGTATATCAAAAACTGATTTACGCCGCTTTCTCAACTATGCTAAAGATAAGTAAGTCAACCTTTTTCACACAAAGTTTTAATTTTATTTTTTACTTTATGTTTTGTATTTTAGATTTAATTTACCTGTATTGGAGTCCATTGTCGAAGCTCCACCAACAGCAGAACTAGAACCTTTACAAGATGGTCAACTGATGCAAACCGATGAACAAGATATGGGCATGACTTATGCTGAGCTTAGTGAATATGGACGCTTACGAAAACAAGGTTGCTGCGGTCCATATAGCATGTTCTGTAAACTAGTGGGTACTTGGCGTGGTGACTTAAGTCCAAAGGAAGTATGTCATAATATCACGTTAACATAATACCAAATAATTTCTTTTTTTTTGTTGACATTTAGGTGGCTGATAAAGTCAAGCATTTTTTCCGTTGTTATGCCATAAATAGGCACAAAATGACAGTTATTACCCCTTCTGTACATGCGGAAAGTTATAGTCCTGATGATAATCGTTTTGATCATCGACCATTTTTATATCGCGCTAATTGGAGTTGGCAATTCAAAGCGATCGACGATGAAGTTGAAAAATTACAACTTGTATGTACACCTTCTTCCTCGCAAATGCGACCCAGCACAGATGATTTGTTATCACGCGAGTCGTCGCATCGTTCATCACATGTAGAATCTAAACACTCATCACCACTGTCGTGTTCATCTGTTGATACTGGTGCTGTTCCGCCACCACAAATGGGTGGTGCTACCAGTTGTAGTACGGGTGCATTAGCCAAAAAACCCAGTGGCTACACTAAGGTGCACGTAAATGTGCTTGGAAAGATTAAGGATCGTACTGGAATACCTGTTTAAATTGCATTTTATTATGGAATTGAAAAATATTATATCAGAGAATTGCACAGGAATTGTGAAAAAATGAGATTTATAAAACGTCGTCATATAAGTTACTTTAATAAGAAATAGAGAAACAAACACTAATAATGAATTTTACGTTTGAATTAAAATCATTTTTTTATGTATATGTTATATGATCTAGAACTTAAGATTTATATTTGTTTTAAAATTTATTCCTATTAAATTTTTTATCCGTTAATGTTAATACAAACAGTTAACTAAAGCCATTTAAAGTGTTTTTTAACATTTATTTTTGGATGTTATAGTAATCGTTTTTGTTATATTTGAAATTATGTTTAAAAATTGTTTATTCTTTATATTTTTAAAAGACTGTCAGTATGTTTATATTAAATTTCGATTTTATTTTGTTGAAGTGTTTGTTTATTGTATTTTGTAATAATGTCAATATGCACTATTATATATAAAAATTATTATTTGGGTTAAAAATTGTTTTATTTTTTATTAAACTTTGAAAAATACTTAATATATTAAAGTTAAAGTATTTGTAAAAATTTTATTTAATGCCAGTAAAACAGTATATAGTATACTTAAATAGACTGAATTACTAAACAATTATAAAAGTTAACAAAGTTCAATTATAAATGAGTTTAAAAATAGTTTTAAAGTGAAATGCAGTTAAATTATTATCATCTTAAACGTCTAGTATTGTTTTTATTAAAAAAGACATTCTATTTATAGCTATATTCGATCATAATAAAAATTAGTAAAAGATGTTAGAATATATATGTTAAATTTAGTTTTTTATGCACTTGTAGGGTATTCATTCAACTGTTGTTAAAGCTTCAGCTATTAAAATATTATATTTAATCTATAATTTTATTTTTCAAATTCTTAGAACAATCCTTACTGGGCACTTACATTAAAGAAAAAAATGAATTCACTTAAGAACAACGGCACTCGTTTTCCTACTGGAAAATAGAAAAATATAAGCAGAATTCGATACTTCAGGAATATATATGCATTTGCATTCTATGCTGCTTTTGTGCTGGAACAATATTATTACCACACTACTAGCATTTAAGGATTGTAAAAAAGTGGATGATGAATAAGGGTGATTCGCTTTTAACGCAAGTAAGAAAAACTTTTTATTACTCGGAAATAGTTCTTGCAACAAAAAGCATGCTGCTGCAGGTCAATCGATAGGGTTTGTCTATTTTTATTGACTTTATAAACACTTTGTGGGTTAAGACAAAATGCAAAGATGTTGAAGTAGATAATATATATAAATGGAAACTTAGGAGAAGAAAAGACATATATTCCTGAAACAATATTTCAACTGAAACATTTGCAATGTTTTATTATAAATTTTTTACCGCTTGAAACAATCTTAAAACGTAGAATCTCTTGTTCTGATCCAACTTTTTAAACAGAATGAAGACAAATAAGACTACAAATAAGAGCTAGAAATTATTAAGATTAAAATTTTTTTAAAATAAATTGTAGTTATGTTTTGTATTATATTTAGTTTATATTTTAGAAATAATTTTTTAAAGAGAAAAATATTCTATTAAACAGACAGTTCCCTTAACCTAACAGAATTATTGATTCCGTTGGTGTTGTAATAATAGCAATTCCACTAAATGGGTTTCAAGTCGTAAAGTTTTTAATATAAAAGAAAATGTGTGTGTGTGTGTGTGTGTGTGTGAATAAAAAGAGCACTTCGGATACATTGAATAAATTGAATAAATTTTAATAATTTTAATTAAATAATAAAGTGTATTTTATTTATTACTTTTAATAATAAAGTGTATTTTATTTATCAGTTGTTATTGCATTGAAAATTTAGCAATCTTAAGCAAATTAAACTATCCAATTTTTTAATAAAATGTATACTAAAAATAAATACAACAGTTGAGTGATAATATTATATTGTTTAATTTTTATATGTTGTAGCAACTATAACTCTGATGATCGCAAATTACGTTTTTAAATATAAACATATATTTATTTATATTATATATAACATATATTTTTTTGAGCTTTTCAGTGTACTTTATAAAAGCAACATGTTTAATATATTATAAAAATAAACTTTAAGTATCAATCCTGGTAGAGCATAGGCCAGTTATATTTAGAGAAATGTAGTCTATAATTATTATTTTATTTTATTTTTTATTTATTTGAAATCATTATAAATAAAATATGGACCAAATTTAACATGAATAAAAGCTTATAGATATTGCTTTTATTGAAAATGCAACATGTAATAAAAAATTATATTATATATGTTGTTGAAGACTTATGTGAGCAAAAATAATAATCTGTTAATTGATTTTTTATTATAAATTTGTTTTATATATAAAAATTTATTAGCGGATTAACTGGTCTTTTAAATAGAAATAAAATAAACCATAATTTATTATTTATATTTAAAAACAAATTATATTTAAAATAACAAATTATAGTTTTTTTATTTATATTTAAATAACCAATTAGCCCGCAAATAAATTATTATAAATTATTTTTTATCACAAATAATAAAATAGTTATTTATATATATAAAAAATAAAACATTTTTTTTATATAGTTATTATTTATATAGATAAAACTTTTTAAAGTTTATTAATCTATTTTACTATTAGAGCGGAGTATTATTTTTTATAAAATAAAATAGAATTTTTTAATTTTATTCAGAAAAGCCTCTAATAACAGATAATTTTATTAACAAATGAACTAGAAACTCTTCTAATTAAAAATTAGTATATAAGTATATAAAATAAAAATTAATGTTAAAAATGAATTGGGAAATTTATGTAAAATTAAATTTATTTAGAATTAAAACTGCAACTATTAAAAGGATTTTTAAAATAATTATATTTTTTTTGGATATTGAAATTTTGATTTTAATATTATTTAAAAAAAAATATACATTAGAACAAACATTTATATTTTATGATTTTAACTAGTGCAAATTTAGCTTTACACTCTCATTAACTAAATCAGTTCGGTTAACATTAATGGGTTAAAAAACTGCTACCGATATAAGCATTTATAGTTTCTAGTGAGTTAACTTAAATAAAGGAACACAAACTAAAGTATATATTTGAATAGAATAAAATTCTTAACTATTAAATTATATACAAAAACTAATAACAATCTGATAAAAACAAATGTAAGTCAATAAAATTAGTTGCATTTAGTTTAAGCCAATTAAAGTAGTTATTAGAAATGAAAAAAAAAATTATATATTATAATGTTAGCAATTTCGCTTTAATTATTAAATCAATTATTAAATAGTTATATAAAAAAAAAAAATATTTTCATTATGTAAACTTGCTTGTTTAAGTTATATAAACTTGTTACTCATGCCTTCATTTAGAAATATAAAATATTTTTTAGCTTCTAAGTTTCACTGAAATGTCTTTCGTATAGAAAACTAAGAAAATATGTTACAAAAAAATTGTATAAACTTAAAATGATATATAAATAAAAACAAAAAATGATATACTTATACCAACAAAATAAAAGTTTTTCCTTAATATTCATAGCTGCTTGCAATTATAAGACTAAATAATAATCTACATAATTCGCAAGAACCGAGAAGCGAGAAGCAACTTTAAGCTGCAGTGCAAATTGCAAATTAAAACTTCATGAATGCTGAACTGAAACTTGGAGCAACAGAAGCACAGCACGGCTAAGAGAAAGATAAACATTTGAAGCATTCGAGGAGCATTCAAGGAACACATTTGAATGGCACACTTCAAAGTTTGACAAAGTATCCTGAATTCATTCTTTGCTATATCCTCTTTCACTTTACTTTTACTTTTTTTCTTGACTCGAGAAGTCTTGGCAGGATTAACTTTATTTCACGTTGCTTTGCTTGCTTTGCTTGCTTTTTACGATTTCAACAAGTTTTATTTGCTTTTCAGTAATTAAAATGGTGTCATTTTGCCTTTTCCGAGAACGTAAAATGGCTGCCATGGGTGAGTTGTTTTTCTATGATTCAAACAAGAAGGCTTGCATTTGATGACTTCAAGACAAAATGGCTTAATTACAATATTTTTCTTGTAAATTTTTCTGTAATTGTTGAGTTACTTAAGTTAATAACTTGAATTTCTGTTTACTTCTGTTCGTTAAAATTTAAGAGCTCTACAAATAAAACAAAAATGTTATAATTATGAAAAGATATAAAGATATTTCAGAAGAGCGTCACTATGGACCATCAGGGATAAGGTGAAGCAAAGCAAATAATTGGAACTGCACTAATTTATTTATGTTAGTGCAGTTCCATCAACACAATAAACTACCAAATCCTTTCATTAATCATTAATTTAGGTCTTAGTAGTGTTAATTTAGATCTTAATTAAAGTTCTATAATTTTTTGTAAGTACTATAGGAACTTCTTTGAATCAATTATAAATAAATAATGACAACAATTCAGTTTTCAATGTTTTAACTCTTATTTATTATTTTTTTAAGTTATATGTACACCAAGTCCTAGAAAGATAATCTACATAGATAATAAATGTAGATGGTAAGTAAGATGAAGAAAAGGCGAAGTTTTAGTCCAAGTTCTAAAGAAATGCTTTACACAACTATAATAGAAGGGGCAAAGCACAATTTTTCTTTCCTACACATAAAACCAGTAATGAAAAAAAAGTCAAAATGAACAATTTCCTTTCTCAACAAAAAAAAAAAAACAATCAAAAAAGTTTCATATCACTGAAATTTTCAATTATATATTACTCAAATATTTATTATTTTCTAGAATACATCTATTTTAGCAACGGAACTGTGTGAACATGTACATGCCCAAATGCTTTTTCATTAGTCCATCACATTTAGGAGTACCGCTCTCCCTTGAAAACTCTTTTTATTATAAAATATTATTTTATTATATCAATATTTTTCTCACACTTTGACGGAGAAGTTGACACCATTCTACATATCAACTATAGCTCCGCCTATGGTCTTATGCTACTAAAAAATCTGATATCGACCACGGGTTTAATTTTATCTAAATTTACGAAACAAAAAACCCCAAGCCCTAAACAATTGGATTTGCATTCAGTTGCAATAGATTCTGTTTCTAATATCCCAACACAACATAAAAATAGTGTCCGACAAAATTATTAGCCGTAAATTGGTATGGATTAAAAATAGACTGAAGAAATCATTTCATGATATTTGTCGGTGAGCACTTTTTGGACTCCGCACAGAAATAGAGAAAAAAGACGACCAAAAGTTTCGTGTCGCAGTTCTGAATAAGAATGCAAAAGAAAAAGTCACTCTTAGAATGATGTGATTCATTTAGCGCAAAACTGCACCTATGTCAAAATATATCAGCTATTTTATCAGCTCACTATGTTTCTAAGTAGATAAAGCCGATTAGCTGATAACAATGCCATTTTATGTATTTTTGACTTTATCAGACTAAACAATAGCTGACCTCAGATCTGCATTGCACCCCGAGGATCGCGTAACCATTCTGAGATTTGATAACGCGTTGTTGGTAAGCCTGTCAGTGTTCGTAAATAATTTCAGGGCTCTATTCTTTAATTATTTTTTGATCGGATCAATTTTGAGGTCTCTGATGAAGTCATTCAATTTAATGTACCATGGCACTTTAAAAGGTCTTCTCAAAGCCTGGTTTTTTGCAATTCCCAGCTGGCGAATAGTAGTGTTTGAGGTCTTGCTGAACGCTACAAACCCATATAGAAGTGTCAGTCGTATTATTTGGTTTTATATTAGCGATTTATTATTTTCAAAAAATGTGTTATAAATAATACTTAATTTAAATAAATTTTTATGAACTTAACTTTTAAATTATATACTATTAAGTATTTAGTTAAAGTATTATTAATTACTTTAACATACTTTTCAATTTTTTTAAATTAATTTTAACATATTTTTCGATTGCTTATAAGATGGCTCCTAAAGACCGTAGATATCAAGCTAAAATCTGGGAATTTAATACAACTTCCCTTGTCTTAATTAAATGCATTTTACATTTTTCATTATCTATAGTCACAGAATTAATTTACCAAGATTTATTCATTATCATACAATTAACTTGGAAATTCAAATGAAACCAAAGTGCTCTGCTAATGTGACGAAAACTCGAAGCGTTCATGCTGAGCTAACATGAAAGTATTCGTATCTAGAATCATAAAATATGCTGTGGAAATTTTTATTATGTAAAATAAACAAGCCAAAAGCGGCACTATATCCACACCAATGAGCAGAAGTGCCAGGCACTTACAGATAGTGCCTGCACTTCAAAGCCGCTGAACACGTTGCTAAGTCCTTTGCATGTGCAAAGGACATCCTTAATGGCAAACGTAAACTGTACATTTTCCACATTAAAAATTAATTAAAAAGTTTGTGCTAGAATTGGTTATTATTTGAGCTACGGGCATCTTTGGTAGATATGACGAAGGAAGCAATGAAGGTAAATGGGAAAAGTGAAAAATAATTTTGCCAAGATTCCTCGAAGAGCAACCAATACATATGGGTTTTTGTTTTATGGTAGATACTCGTAAAAGTACAGAGAACAGGACAAACCCAGAAAATTGATAACGAAGGTGGGAATATTAACTTGTTGGAAATGTTTTCACACAACTAATAACAAATTACATTGAGAAGCTTTAATGTAGATAGTACGAGAGAAAAGTATCTCTCATGGGTTACTATTTACAGTAGAAAATGTATAAAAAGCTGATTAAATTAATAGCAATAAATTACATTTTCACTTCATTGCTTTAATTTATTTCTTTGTGAAGTATTTTTCCAAGACTCTCTAAGAATCGATATTTCATAAATATGTCAAATTTACTTCAAAGCAATAAATGCAAGTCGTTAGATTATATTGTCTAAATGGCTTTGTGTGCATCCGTCCTAGTCATTCTTACTTCCAAAGTTATCCAAGAATTTAATGTCCAGCATGAGTTTCACGTTTTACTAAATTTAATTTAACGCATTCTGCACACAAGGAATTTCAATGGAAACACGTATCTGTGATGTCGTACACAAGATGCCATAGTTAAGATGTGCCACAATATTTCAATGTGGACGTATGCACGTGTCAGAAAAGCAGGTGCGATTGGCTCGTAGATGGATAGATGTTTTTTATTTTTTTCCAAATTGAATACGAACTGAACATTTTAACATAATTTTAAAATAATTGCTATTAAAAGTATTTATTATTACATAAGAATTAGTACACTCAGAAAAATAATTTAGTTGATTTAACCAGATTTTAACTACCATAAATCTCAGGTCAAAATATACTTACTCGACGCATCATGTTGGTTCAACCATACTACATGTTCGTTTTCATATCTTCTTCACCACATGAGCTAAAATTGAATTAGTATGTGGTTAGCGCATATTTTTCTGAGTGTATCAGTTAAATAAAGGACAGTAGTCCTGGGCACAGCCAGATAGCATTTTGCATGGAAATCTTAACAATTAAAATTGTATCTGTAGAGTAGTTCCTGGCAAAGATAACACCAATAGAAGAGATCAAATGAACATGATTAGCTGCTTAGGTAAGCAATCTCAGTCCACATTTTCAAACGTAAGTTTTTAGAATATAACACTTCTGCTTGGGATACAAAAATGATCCCAAATTATATTGACGGTTTTAGAAATCTTAAAACCGTCAATCTGACGGTTAAATCTTTATTACTAATATCAGAATATTGGTACCAATATCACTTGCGCTGGGCATATGGCTCACTATTTTCAAAGCAGAGATTCACGCTATTGAGAGTGTATTAGAATAAATCTTAACATGAGATTAAAAAGCACCCAGTCTGTATCTATCCAAGTAGTCAGGCAGTAATCAAAGCATTATGCTACTGGTATCTTACTTTGAAGTGGTTGATGAACTGTTAAAACATGCTGTGTTATAGCAAATGGTAAGTATAAACTAGATAGTATTTCATTGGATCTCTGGACACATTTAAATAAACGGCGAACTTGCAGGGGCTAGATTAGTTTGACTAAATCTACTGTTGACTTCCATGTTTAGCGTGTCATTTGTTTTTAATAATAATACATAACGCATCTACATTACAGGAATGTTACTCTGTTATCAACGTTGTCAGGGATGTAAATTGCCAGGAATGTTATAAGGTGACAACGAAGGTATCGAAATTAATGCTTTTAGAAACAACAACAAAGAGGGAAAATTATTTAAATATCTAAGACAAATTCAATTTTAAATTATATCTATGTCATTGTACTCCTCATATGGAATATTGTTTGTAATACGTGAATATCAGCTACATCAGCTAATATATTTGTCTTTATCATATTGCATTGGTTACCCTTAGTTTAGTAGTTATGTACTTAAATGACAGCAAGTGCACTTTCATTTCTTGCTGTCAAAAAAGTAAGCCATGTTTTTTTTAAATTGAACAAGTGAAGTTTGTTAAAAGAAAAAATTAGAAGTTTTAAATTTATCCAAATAAGAAAATTCCTTTTTCATTGTAAAATAGATTTCAAAATTAAAATAATAAACCGGAAAATTTTCTATTTTCCTGTAAGTTTCATTTAAACTAAATTATATACTGAGTTTTCTATATGGAAAATTACAGAAAATAATCCAAGACAAGAATATCGCTATTTTGGTACGAGCGGTAAGTCACAATACTAGTTTTCCTCGAATCACCTCGTCATCTCTGTTGCAACCATCCTAAAATGTCGGACTTCACAGTTAAACGCATTAAGCGCGATTATCGTGATATCAAAGTTAATCGTAACAGCAGTGCTATACCAATCGATATCGAACTTGTAAATGATAACTGGACTGAGCTAGAGGGTTATATTATTGGACCAGAGGATACTCCTTATGAGGGCGGAAGGTTTGTTTTGGATATTAAACTTCCTGGAACGTTTCCATTCAATGCACCAATTATCACGTTCAAGCAGAATATATGGCACCCGAATGTATCACGTGAAGGAAAAATCTGTGTTGATATTTTAGACAATGGTTGGACTTCAACTTACACGCTGCGTTTTATTCTACTCTCAATCCGTGAGCTTTTAGCCTATCCAGAACTTACTGATACGCAGAATTGTGTGTGTACTTTGCAATATAAACACAAATATCCAATCTTTGATATGACTGCTCGCTTTTGGACTGCTAAGTATGCTAATGGGCCCTATAAAGTCCCACACTGTGATCTTAAGTTGAGAGAGTTAATGAGTTATAACATGCATCAGGATTGTGCTATGCGTATACTGTCAGGCGCCGATTGGGATATGAAGGTTATTAAAGCACATTTTTTTCCACAATGCGACGATGATTCCGATGAATGAAACAGGAATTAAATATATATTTTTATATCTAAATTTAAAGTATATTTATTTGTGGTCTTTAAAATTTCGTAACAATAAATGTATGAAGTTACTTAGTAACTAAAGATTGCGTGTTTTTGGGATTTACTTTTGAAATAAGTTTGATATTGAACAAGAAGTCAATATTTCTTGATTTCAACCTATATACTTTTCAATTTTTTCATAATCAACAAATAGCTCATATCTATAATTGAATCTGGAATTGTTTGGTGGTTATTATTCTTTTAAAAATAATGTAGAGAGAACTTGTACTATTAAATTATAGTGATATAATATTATTTTCTATATGTCTTATCTAAAATTGATTTTCACAAACTTCCAGTGAATAAAGCAGGATTAATGCTTTAAAAAGCAGTTGATATATTAAAATGATAGACATTTTTAAATAATTTTTTAAAAAAGTAGTTTAATGCAATATTACTAGCGTTATCTATGCAATTAATTTATTTTACATGAGGCATCGGATTTATTCCACATAATTTATATTTTTGCTTTAATGACACTGCAATGGAGCTTCCCGGTATTTACTAAACTCAAAACTTTCACGCTGCGGTTTTTAATTACACCACTGGGCCAATAAATCCCAACCAATAATTGATTTGCTGCACTATGCAGTGGTACTTGTTGCTTATTGTATTCCATTTTATTTGTTTTTAATGCATTTTAAATTAACTATTATTACGTTTAATTAATATTACTCATACGCTATGTACGCCGCTTTTATGCAGTGTTATATCAATTTAAAGGTAATTAAGTTGAAAATATAAACGCAAATAAATTAGTTGGCAGTAATAACATATTTATTTTAAAAAAATAATATTACTATAATGCAGTTACAAAGGACATTAAGAAGGGTTCTGTTTCCATTCATTAAAATTTATTTTTACACTTCAATAATTTATGAATTCAACAAAGAACTACGCTTGAATAACATTTAACATTAAATTTATGGAAAGGTTATATGCAACTTAATTAAATAAAATTTAATTAAAGTAAGTGCGTTTTCTTTTGCAACTTAATTTTCTTGTTTTTTTTCTATAAAAATATTTTTAATATAAAAATATTGATTTTTATTTTTGTAGAAAAATTTGACGATAATAATATGATTTAGTTATTTTTTTATTCAGAAATATAAATTGAGCCCTACTCTAAAGATTTTTGTTTTATACTGTAGATATATGTGAACAATATGACAAATAATAATAGTAGTACTATAAATCTATGAACCAGTATACGTTAGTATTAAGTTAGAGGGAACAATGAGAGCTATACCAAAACGTTGACATAAACATATTACAAATTGAGCTGCCTCACTGGGTTAGTAATATGTGAGAATGGATTAAATTCTTCGAGTTAAAAATATTTTTTTTTTTGGTACCCAGTGGATATAAAATATGGGAAAAGAAATACGCATCTTCGCTGAAAACGCCAGTTGTCAAATGATTTAAAAGCACTCTGTACTATAAATATTTAATGCTATTTGTATCTTTAACCCTAAAAAGTTAATCAGGACTTTAAATTAAAGTCGGAATGTCAGTTTATAAGAGAAATTTACGCTCCCAAGGAAGGTGACCATTCCGACTAATACAAATGTTTTGTGTTTTAGCTAAATCTTTCTAAAGGTTTAGATAAATATGAACACAAATATTTTGAACCTTAAGCTAACAGAAAGTATGGAGGTTTTCCAATGAAAGCAGGAACATTTCTTGTTAAGCAGTTTTTAATACAGAACGATAAAGGAATTTCTCAATATTCTTCAAAATTTCTCTAATTATTGAATTTCTAATGTTGGCTAGAACAGAAACTTCAATCAAAGAATTATCCTTCCAGTTCAGTTCAATACCGAAGAGTCTTGAACTCCCCTTCCGTACAGGGACTACATTCTGCCAATTTAGCATATCAATCTTTTTAATGCTTCATTATCATTATACAATTTTTAAATTTAAATTTTAAATTGAATCACATTAATATTTCAACATTTTTTTTTGTTTCAGTTTATTTCATTGGAGATAACGTCGTATTTTGCAAATTTCGTAAACTGATTTTCTCTTGCACTGCACGTGCCAATAGCAAACGTGATATCACATTTTACTTGTGATATTTTGATGTTGCACATGTTTGAGCTCAAATTTGCTTAACGAATTGCTGCTGTGACCCTGTCAAAATGATAATTTTGTCACATTTTGACTGATTTCTGGCATATTTAGCCAATAAATTTTGTTAGTATTACAAGCAATTGAAGATATTTTCTGAAATGAAAACGATTTGAAAATGTCTTCTAATTATCGTAGGTAAACTTATTTCAATTTATTTATCTCCATATATATATAGATATATACATAGATAGATGTTATATATATATATATATATATATATAGGTAGATGTTATATAGGATTCCATATTCATGCTTCTGTTGTTTAGTTATAATGAGTTATAATAAAGATTCGGTAAAAAGCCAAAGTGCCAGTTAAAAGCAGTAAAAAAATGGAAAAAACTAGAAAAAATAATTATTTTTAGTAGAAAGTGCCATTTTACAGCATTAAAAAACGCAAAAACGCAGAGTTTTCCATATTAAAAATATAGAATTAACTGAATTTAAGATTCTGTTCATGACATCTCAGTGAAACGTGTCGGTAACATTTTTGATGGTTTGAAGAATAAAAATATAATTTAAATGACCTTATTAAAATATGAGAAATGAAATGGTGGTTAATTTGCATTTTATACTTTATTGTGAGTAAAGCGAATTTTGCAGTGAATTTATTTTCAATTATTTTTCGAGAAAATTGCCAACAAAATTGAATGATGAAAATTTACTTTTATTGTTAATAAAAGTAAGAGATGTGACGATTTATGAGCAATGAAAAGAAAATAAATTTTAAATTATAAAAGTAAGCGCTACATTCTTAAAAAATAATGTTCATTATAATATCTACAAAGTATTCATACTCGAATAAATGCATCAGGAACAATTGCAGCCTCATTTTTCTTTTTCTTCTGCATTTAAATTATATATATTAAATATATATATTTTATATAATCTGATATTTATAATTAAATTTGTTGATTTATTTGTTTACATGACCCTTTATTATTTTTTTTAATATATTCAGATCAGTAAATACCTGACTTAGTCAGGTATAGTAAACAAACGACAGTAAGCCACTGAACGGGCTGTTTAAAGGACTCTACTGTACGTGCTGCAGGACGACATAGATCTGTCAAAGTATACTACGTAAGTATGTAAGTATGTATTTACCATAAAACTGTCGTTAATTAAATAAGAATTGTTAAAGAAATGATACAGGGCAGTAGTCATGACTTCTCTTATTGCTGACACCAACTTCAATGTGCTGTTCTATTATAAACTATCCCTAGGGAGAGACCCACAAGCTAATTTCAACCATTTATGGCTATTGATAAGCCTTATTACTATCTTGGAATCCTAAATTCCATACTTCCATCGGTTTGTTGAAAGCTGTTTGGTGATACTGGATTTATTTTCTGCCAATAACATCGCATAAACATACAAGGTGTGAATGTTTAAATCTGCTTATCAAAAATGAAGTTACTTACCATAAAAAAATTAAACTTAAATTCAATTTCATCAAATTTTTAATATTAAAATTTAAACATATATACAATCTCTTATCGCAGTACAAACCCTTATAAAGCTGTTGCGGTTTTCTGAAGCAAGGGAACTTCCCAAGTCAACGTTCGTCAAGAATTCTGTAGTTTCTTTGTGTTCATCCTTTGTGCCAGAGTAACTAAAAATCTGCAAAAGCTGTTAGCACAGAATACGTAATATGGCAAATCTTGGCATTTCCAGTGACTCGCGTTCTGATAGATGAAAATGCAGGCAAAGAAAACTTAAGCTCTACAAATTGCATAAAGGAAAGTAGGAAAAGGAAAGTGTTGCTGCCTCAGACATATAAAATAACGTGAAATTGCATTTACTTTTTATGAGTTTTTCCTTTTAAGCAAGGAAGAGAAAATTGTTTATGAGATTTAACTAAACCGAAGGTAAAAAATAAATTTAAAAATAAAAATTTACAAAAAAACAACTGTAAATAAATAAAACGAATTTAAAGGAAACTACGAGGAAACTTTAAAATGAAAAACTTTCCACTCTAGCAACGTAAAAAATAAAACTTCCGTAAACGATTTTATTTGATGTGATGGATTTAATTTTGTTATTCCATCAAATGTCGAACACAGTTCAATGAAAAATCGAAAGCCATTCATCACGTGATGCTCACATTCAACAAACAAAAATAAAATCAATGATTCCAGCAATGTCAACAATCACGGAGACAAACACATTTGCTCCACTCGAATCAAAGCAACATATAATATTGTTATTTTCTCACAAACAATGCAGCTATCATCATCAAAATCATCGTCATCATTGACAATCATTGACAATCACTGCTATCAATTTTAGCAAATCAAATATTTTTTGTTTCCCTTTATTTATTCTCAATGACAATTTCCGATATTATACGCCATTTTATGAGCTGTTTGCCATTGTATACCGCAACGACACCCACAATTGTTGGATAAGGAAAAATAAACACAATAAAATAGCACCGCAGGGTGTAAGTTACGGACCTGCAAGTTGGATTCCATCACAACCCTTAATAGCGACATAAGATTTCAAATTTATCACATTGAGTAAGTCAAAGCAGGACCTCTAATATGAGTTTGTCACTTGAAAATTCTAATGCTATGGGGAATTTTTTTTCAATTAACAGTAGTCTAAGGATAATATATTGGTTTACGATTTTGTTCTAATATAACACAGTAAGTAAATTTGTTAATAAACTTTAACAGGAAATTAACAAAAAACTCGAAAATGGAACGTACAAGTCAAGTAGGGATTTAGAGCAGTTAGCTATAAATAAGGACTTTGAGCTTCAAATTTGGCAGAGCACGCGTTCAACCCTGAGACCCTTGCCAGTCTCAAAAAAATTATTTGGAAATAATGATGGGCAACATAATTGGTAATACTCGAAACAGTTGTTTGGTCAGCCAAAAATTCAATTAATTAAAAAATAATTAAAA